TCAGGACACGAATGCGATATCCTATGTCTGAAAACGCAATTTTCAAGACAAAGAAAGAGTCCGCTTGCTGCTGCGTGTTGTAGCTAGTTCATTCGCACGGAATCTCCGCGCATCCTTCTCTGCACCCCTTCCTGCTCCCCTCCCCGCTGCCCGTTCCGCTCTTCCCCCTGCTCCTCAATCTCCGCGCACCGCTCCCCTCTCCTCTCTCCTCTCCTCGCTCCCTGCTCCGCTCTTCCCCTGCTCCTCAAATCTCCGCGCACCGCTCCCCTCTCCTCTCCTCGCTCCCTGCTCCGCTCTTCTCCCTGCTCCTCACTTCTTGTCCGCGCACGAAATGTCCGCGCACCCCGTCCCCCCACTCCTCACTTCTCCGCCTTGCCTAACCAACACTGTAGTTAGTTGTTTATAAGTCATGTGCAGCGCACCGGCTGTAAACAAACCTGTTTCTGGCATAAGGAGGAGGAGGGAGGAGGCGTTTCTACGTAGGGAGCTGTGGGGGAGGGGGGGTGGTTTCACGCATGCGCAACATTTGAAAAAGGACAAACAGTCGCTGGATTTCTCGTTCCTTGGAAAATCCTCTATACAACCTTTAATATACCAGTTAACCCCATTTGCGGTGTAGTACATACATCACGACAAAAAAGTAGCGATTGGTTAAATTTGAAGTACCCGTCTACTGTCGAGCGAACAAATCCTAATGCTGTGAGGTCAGATGGTTTCCACAAAGTGAAACTGGCTGATGAATCAGGCTACTGTCTACTTCTCCAAAGATCAAAATGCTCGGTTCCACTTTGTGATGTCATAACGCTATGGTTTTCAAGTTATAACTACCTTTTGTTCACTAGAGGTTGGCAATGCGGGACTGAAATGATCCAAATGATTCGAGTGAAGGTCTATGGAGTTTAAAAGCATAGTGGAGCACTTCCTGTATTACCACATGACATCACAAGGAGGAGTATTTCAGTTTGACAGAAGAACTCAACCTAAATATGCCACCGTTTGTGTGTTAAACGTGTGAATGAAACAAAACAGCTCCGGGTATTTTTGTGATGAGGAAACAACATTATAACATAGGCCCTTTAATATATTCCAGGATACTTTTTTGTCACAGTTAATCCTTAAAATTATCTTATTTGTTTGTTTCTCAGTATAGTACTACCCTTGTGTATATATATTGTCCAATATTTGGGTTTAATTCACTCAATTAAAAGTACTGACTAAGTATATTGTGAGCTTTACTTGATGTGAAAAGTCTGACAAACACTTAGCTGTATAAAATCACCACCTCTACAGATAATGAATGAAGGGATGAAGAGAAGATTGAAAGAGGCGGGGTTGAATAATAAGTGATGAAAAAAAATCCCAGAATCCCCCTCTTTCCTTTGCCCATTCCTCTTGTGGTGCAGAGTTATTTATAGCACCAGCAGGGAGCAACACACGCTGTAAAGGCAATCATTTCAGCTGCAGCGTGGCCATCGCTCACCCGCACGTCTCTGTCACAGCAAAAGACGCTAGTGCTAAGCTAATACAAAACGAGGGATAAAGTAAAACCGGTTTATGAAAAGGTCAGTGTGTTCAGATGGAAGGTGTCAACAGCAGAGGTATTTTTACAATATAGAAAAAGTCACAATGCAATGTACAGTTTGGGTTAGTACCAAGCTTGGATGAATAGAGACAGTTGTGTAAAAATCAATAAACAAAAGCACATTAATGGGACCAATAACAAAGATGGGGAGTTACATCAGTTAAAACTTTTTCATTTTCAAAATTGTACTTTTCTGAGTAGTTTTCAGACACCGCACTTTTGCTTCTACTTCTTATTTAACAGTCCTTTCAGTTACATTAATAAGAATCTTACATCCAAACAGTTACGCTTACAATTACTCTTGATTGAGTCATAGTGTGCCAAAATACTACAGTATCTTCCGGACTATTGAACGCAGCTAAATGTAAGCCGCATCAACTAAATTTTAACTACATTTTAAAACTGTACATATATAGGCTGCACCTGAATATAAGCCACAGGTGTCCACGTCTTCAAGAACGTTTTCAAGTTCGGGCCGTCTGCTTTTATTGCCTCTGAAAGCTTTTGTCGTCTTTTTGCATTGAGTCAGTTCATCACGCTGCCATCGCCAAAATCTCACCATCGACTCTTTGATGCTGAGCTCATGCGCAGCAGCTCTGTTTCTTTTTTCTACAGTCAGATCAATTTCTGCTAACTTAAAAGCTGGATCATCTGCATTTCTTCGTGTGTTTTCTATAAGGAGGGTGTTTGAATATGAAGCGCAAAATAACTGTTCAAAACAGAATCACACGAGTGGTATTACTATAACACTATATTAATTTTTCTTGGACCACTTATTTGTACTTCAACTTAAGTGATATTATTTTGAAGTAACTACTCCACCCACCCCAGTTCATATAAGTAAGAATAGTTCTCTCTTAAATCTAGGAATTCTACCCAAAACAAACCCACTAGTACAGCTCGATATTCATTGTGTTTTGGCAAAGCTTGGAATCCACAGGTCTACAACTTCTAATATAATCTTCATCACTAGATAATAGCCTACTAATACATGTTATATTTCTGTGTGTTCTGAATCTAGATTCAATAAAATACACACAATATTTCAAAATGGAAACTTTTCAGCAACTGCATTCTCTTCTCGTCCTTGCTCTGGGCTCCACGCTTAAGTGTTACTAAGCAGTATTTTACACTTCCCAAAGGTCACACAGCGGTCTCATTTTACAGGACTTCTCTTGCACTAACAACAAAAGCTCATCTCAAATGTCCAAGCGTGCATACCAGTTTAAATGTGCCAAGTTAGACCTTTCGCGATGGGGATTTGTCTGTAGACACACACACCCACATGCTTATCCTAGGCATACATAGACAACTGCTTTATTCCCAGATGACATTTACCCAGGCAAGATGCAGGCTCTGGAAGATAGCAACTGAATCAATATTGAAGCCTCTCTTAAAAGAGTTTTGATACATTTCATTACATGGAGCAGAAAACCTCAAAAATCAATGTGTACATGCCATTGGATTTTCCGTGCAGTATATCTTCCATTCAAAGAGTAAAATAGATGTTTTTATTCTTTGGGTCAGTCACTGTGACCTTATATAAAATTCTTTTGAGCAGAAAGTTTAAAAACAAATGACAAATGGTTTTATTAAAGTTTTGGTGGAAGAAAACAAGAAATATCTTAACATAGCAGCCACATCATTGTCTTTTTACCTTCACATAATCATTTTTGCAAAAGCATGTCTATACAGCTAAACAACTTACTCTTATGCAATAGAATGACAGATGACCTTATAGCACATACTGTATTATTCATTTTCTGCAACATTTTATATATAACATATACAGATTTTTCCATCTATTCCCCCTTGTATTAATAACTTAGTTACGAGACTATCGATAATTATTAATGCTATTGTATTTTTGAACAAATGTGTTCCTTAGGCCTGTCATGATAACTACTACATTGACTTATCTTTCAATATATGAAAGCTAGAGTAATATTTTTTGGGGGTCAGTATTTATCGTGTGTACTTTTCCTTTGTACTACTGGGGAATTTTTGGTTATTTCTGGCAATACAATAAGATTTAAGACATAAAAGTTTGAATTAATAACTTAACTAACTTAACTATGACTCATTACAGTTGCACACTAAGTATTAAAGTGTAACATTCTGCTGTTTATTTATTTCATCTTATGATTTTTTAACACATTGTACATTTAACATAATATTTGTGGTTTAAATTTGCTCTTGGGGTATTGTATCAGTGGAATTGATTAGTGGCAATATTATCGTTTAAAATTTGTTATTGTGGCAGGAAAGTTTTCCTTTGGATCAATAAAGTCTGACTAAGCCTAAGTCCAAGTATGTTCATTTCCAACATGGATCACATGACACTGGCTCACCAGTCAGCAGTTTACATCTGATCGGTAATGTTAATTTTTATAATCCACCAACAGTGCTGAAAGGCCTATTCAGTATAAGGTATTCATGAAAATCTATAGAAATGTTAGGGATTTGGGATTAGGATAAGGTATTTTTACCAATTATACCTGAATCCTGAAAATATAAGATGTGTGTAATTGAAAGTATATTAAGAAGAGTCTTTTTGTCAGTTTCACAAAAATTCAAAGACACTTTTACCTTACTGTGTGATAAAAATGCCTCAAACCAATTAGGCTGACAGAATAGAAGCAAGCGGGCCCGTCTGTACTCCAGGTGTGCTGTGTTTCGGAAGCTTACATAACTTATCCCATATGGAAGATCATTTGTGGAATAAAAATAGAATATTGGAAACACTTTGTTGGGTAAGCAATGAAAACATCAATTAAACCATAATGATGACAAATCGTCTAATAGTCCTTGTAAAGTCAAGACGTGTATTTTGAACGGCAAACACCATGTAACTAGTGCTTTCTCTTCACTATCTGTAACCAAGAGTCTTTAAATATCCTACACTACTTATTTGGCAAGAAACACATATTTTACAAAGTATGGATTACAATTCACGTTGCAGTGTTTGATGGTGTTGTAATTTCAGATAGAAGGCAAGGGCATATACACTGTGGGAGAGTCACTGTTTTCGAAAGAAATATCCAATCTTATCATCCACAAATGTTCAAAGTTATTATTTATTAACCCACGTTATTAGTCTTGTGGCTCAAAATCTTCTCATGTTTTTACAGTTGAATAATGGAACACGTTCACTTTTGTTTATTTATGCCAACAGAGAAGAATTTCAGAGATAAACTTCATGTCCATTTTTGTTTCATGTGGCTGGATCTGGTAAGTAGTCCAGCTCCATTTTAAACTATAGGGATTCTAAGTATGTTGTAGTCTCACATGAATGCCATCTATTTGTATATTTTCTTCTGATTTAGATACAGAAATTGCATCTGAAATCAACATTATTCTAACAACTGACATTTAAAATGCATAACTATTGAAAAGATATTAAATAAAATGGTCTTACCTGTGATGAGTTCTCTGACCTCCATATCATTGGTCTTCCTCAGTAGTCGGATGAGCGCTGGGATGCCGTCACAGTTTTTGATGGCCACTTTGTTGTCATTATCCTTCCCGTAAGAGATATTACGCAGTGCCCCACAGGCTTTACGATGCACCTCTGATTTGGGGTGATCCAGGAGCCCCACCAGCACCGGTATTCCCTTCAACTGACGGACATCCTTCTTAATTTTATCGTTTTCATAACACAGATGCTGCAGATAAGCAGCTGCATTGGATTTCACCGGGTCTATGGGGTGACCTAGCATGGCGATGACTTCGGGGAGATCAGGGTCCCTCCAGCGGGGGTCTTTACGGATGCTGTCTATGGAGGGAGAGCGTCTGCCTCCCATGCGGTCCAGGCTGGCCATGCTTCCTCTCTCGGGCTGAGCGAGCGGGGCGGAGTACATGCCGTGGATGTATGGGTGGTGGCGTTCGTCAATCAACTCTGTGTCAATGGGCTCGTCTGGGTAGCCCCTGGAAAATGAGAAAGAGAAAAAGCAGTGAGAATTAGGGAATCATAAGAGGCAAGTAATTTCCATTCAATCTATACTCCAAAAAATACATTCATGTCAAGTGCTTTTTTCAACTGACTGTTTATACTGCCTCAACTTAACTTTATTATTCAGAAAGTATAATTTCATAATCCAGGTTACTGTGATAATGTGACATTTTAGATAACAGAAATGGAAAAAAGAAGAAAAGGATTTCACAGAAAAATGTTTTTTCACAATAATTGTGACTCTACAATTGTATATTGTAGCATTCCTATTGAGGAGAAAGTGATAAAGTAAAACAGAAGCTACTATTTAGAGGGAACACATTGTCAATAGTATTGGAATTTTCTTAAGTTTTACTGGAGGTACACTGTTCTAAAACAGTGAAACAATTCAACAAAAAATAGTTCCAACCAACCAACAAAGCAGAGATTCAGTCATTTCTAATTGTCAATGACATGCTTGAGTTTTTAATGGAAAGGTCTACAGCCAATCTTCCTAAAAGTATGTGTTTTGGATTTCTAAAAAGAAATTTGAGGTTTGAGTTTGAGCTTTGTGTTAAATGTTAATGATTAAAAGTCTTTCTTGTTAATATTCAAGAAATAACACCTGAAGGTAGGTCTTTGTTTTTAAGACAAAATGAAATAAAAATTTGAAATTGTCAAAAAAGTGAGGTCAAGGAAACAAGCAACATTCTTTGACTGAAGCAGGGACTAAATCAGTACTACACCAAGATAAAAAAAATTATCTAAAGCACAACTAAACAAACAAAACAACAACAACAACAAAAAAACACTAATCGAACTTGACCAAGGTGTCCAAAACCATTTGATATAAACTTAATCTACTGCACATTCAAATTTAAGATATGGAAATTGTGTGTTATGATTAGTTTTGTGCCTGGATGATGCAGCACTTAACATCGCAATAACTTTACATTTGCAATATAGAGCTCAGCCTTGATGGTGACACCAACAGACTTGGGATTGAAACGATGTAGGCTGCCGCGGGGAAGTCTGTGAGAGGAGCCATATGAGGTGAACACTGTGACTAATGAGGAGAGGAGGAGCAGAGAGGGGCAGGTGTACGAATCCGCTGTTTGGGACCGTTATGAAATCGTCTGTCAAGTAACCCTGGCAGCCATTTCCCCCCGAGACAACAATATTCTAAACAACTTTGGGTGATTATTCATCCTGGTCCTAAACACTTTGGACTGTACTGTAAACCCTGATTGCAAGGCAGAGCAGAAGACTGGGTTCAAAAGGCTACACAGACAAAGGCTTTGAAACCAACTCAAGTGAAGTTTTTTTATTCTTTGTTTTGAAGTCACCACATAGAAGAGAGTCAGAAAGAGAATTTGATGTCTGTTCCTCTCACAGAACAGAAGAAGCTCGACTGTGGCCCTTGGGATGTATGGCTCTCAGTCTGATGGCCTCAAGGTTTTTTGACACTGAGTTTTATAGCCTGGGCTTCGTAACAATGTCTTGATATTAAAGTCTCTAAGCCAGATTGGACTACTCTTTTGGTTCAAACACACTTAAAGGTGCATTGTGTAACTTTTCTGGTGGAGGGTCCATTAAACGCTTTTCTCCATGGAGATGTCACTGCTTTGGTTGGAATGTTTCACAGTATGAGATTAAGCCATTCTATCTTCATGGAGACCAAACCAGACCAAGTTACAGGTTAGATCTGTAGAAGAAGATCTGAAGAGGCAACTCCGCTCACAGTCAGAATGCCTGTTTTTCTAGGTATTTTTGAGCGAGCCATAAAACCACCTGTAATTTAATAAATATGAGTTGGAGCTGTTTAATGTTTAATGCAATGATATATCAACAGAAACAAGCAGGTGACAGACCCTCCAACAGAAAAGTTACACAATGCACCTTTAAGTAACAGAAAAATGTGTGTGTGTGTAAATTGTGCATAATTGTTGGATAAAATTCTCTCTAGTATGTCTTCAATATGTATTTCTTCAAAATAAAACTCTCTACTTCTTTTAATTTTAAACATATTTTTCAACTTTTCTTCACAAATTAGTTCTTGGTTGGTGTAAATCTATAATTTATATTTACAACAGGTATTATCCCAGTCAATTACCTTAAACTTGGTGAATCTTCAGAACCTCATACACTTCAATATTAATTTTTGCACTGAGAAAAATATTCAAACCTAGTTTTATTATTGACTTTTAACTGACAATTTATGTGATAAGCTTTTAAATCTACATTCAGTTTAATTAAAAACGTCTTCTATTGGTATTATGAAATTGATACTACAAAGACTAGGTAAGATTAAATGTGCACTATGTAACTTTTCTGTTAGGGTATCTGTCACCTGCTTGTCTCCATGGAGATGATATTGCTCTGCCTAGAATGGTAAAAATTCGATGAACTTATCCATTTTATTCAGTAAGAGGTGTGTTTTCTTTTGTGTATTCTTATTGTGTGTGTGGTCTTCTTGGAAACAAGCAGGTGACAGACCACAAGCAAGAAAGGTTGTGTAGAGCACCTTTAAGCAAAAGATAAAACAAGACAATGGTCCCTAACAGTTTTTTTTTTTGGGGGGGGGCACAAAAGTGGTTTATTAAACATTCAAATTAGGGTCAGGACAAGCAATTACTTCGGTGGCACCATTTTAGACTATATAGAGGAGTGTTTGCATGGATGTATTTTAATGCTATGCAGAATAATTAGAATTTGAGTCATAAATCACAAGGCAATACACAAATACAATCACCAGCCTTATTAGTAAACCTACTGCTCTTTCTCACTGCAGTTAAAATGTTGGAGGAAAATTGTATTGCCTATAAACACAAGCAAAAGTTCAGGAACCCAATTTTAAAGATTTATTGCTTATTTAAAAAGTGCTACTAACTTCTCTGATTATAGATTCTGTTTTTACCCCAAGACACTATTTCAAACATGTTAACTAGAGGGAGCAATTTCCTCGGAGTGACAAAATACTGTCCAACAGAGTGGAGTACTTTTCAAACATATGTGTTGGGGAAAGTTGTGGCACGGGTAGAGAAATTTAATTAGGGTTGTGTGCTTATGCATAGCCTTTATCTGTTCCCCACGCTCCCGCAGCTTGAGACTTGTTTATCCATGTTACATAATCCAGCTGGTCTCCTCTCTCTATCTTTGATGTATGGCGGTTGGTGGTACAACAAAATGGTGGCTATCGCTGGTTGGCAGGGAATTCCATATAAGATTTAATTTTAATGAGTTTTATGTTAATGATGTGTTCTTACAGTTGGGGAAGATGGGGGAGGTCTCTGCGTGGCATCGTGCCTCATCCCAAGCATATTGGGTTTGGTACAACGTATGTGATTTGATGAACTATAAACATCTAAAACGGCTAACTATAGGTTTAAACCAGAACTAAACTAGGGCTAAACAAGGATCAAATCAAGACTAATTCAGATCAAACCCAGGTGCTAGGGGTGCTTCTAGAAAATGGCCTGATTCTGACTCAGATTAGCCACCCTGGTGTACCACAATGGCAGTAAATGTTTGTGTAATTTTACCTGCTCCAAATCATAACAAAGGAGAAATAAATCAATCTTTATAATTCTTCATATTTATATATTTTTTTATTTACAGAACATATGACTTTGGATGACCCTAGTACTACCGTTAGGCCATCTCAGTTTTATTTTAGATCGGATTAAACACAGAGCTATGCCCAGACTTTTTCACTAAGTAACTAGCACTCACGCTTCACAGCAAGAAGGTTCAAGGATTGATTTCTGGGTTGTTTGGGTCTTTCGGTGTGGAGTTTGCATGTTCTCCCTGTATCTGTGTCGGGGACACTCTGTGTAGGAAAACACCTGACATAAATGTGATTCAACCCAGGATTCAACCAAGACAAACTCATGTTAGACTAAAGACTAAACTAACAAGCACAACAAAAGTGAGTCTAAACCAAAACAAGTCACACACGGGCTTTTATGGCTCATCTTTATGCAATTCACTGCCAGGAAAATCGATCCGAGATGAACTGAGAGGGAAAAACTGTGAGCTGAGCGATGTAACGAGACACTAAATCCCCCATTCAGATGGTTGGAAAGAGGATTAATGGAGAGGACGCAGGGAGCTCCACCACAGCTCCACTCTCTTCACAAAGGCTGAAGCAACATAGTGCAAAAATGAGCTGAATGGACAAACCTTTAGGGATAGATTTTGTTTTGTACACACACAATGACGAGCTGAGACTTTGGATCTTTGCATCTGGCATTGAAAATACAGCTGAACAGGAATAATAACTGCAGTAAATATTATGGTGTAAATATATGTCTGATTGTTTGTTTTGCAAAATGATCACAAAAATACGATTATGCTGTTTGAACTAAAGCAGTGTTTCCCATACATAGACCAGTCTGTGGCGCAGTGCCACAGAATGAAAACCTGAAAATTGATTTCGCCTCTTTAAAAAAAAATCTTCATTCTGTCATTCTCGCTCACACACACACAGAGAGAGCGAGAGATCGAGAGATCAATAGTTTCTTATGTCTAATTATAGTATTTTATTTATTTAATAAACTTAATATTGGTCGAGCTAGGTCTTGAGTTTGTATTTAAGTATTTGAAATAAAAAACCTCAAGTTTAAGTTTTTGTTGTTGTTTTTTAATTCATTCCTTGAATGTCAAAGAATCTAAGCTCAGGTAAAGTTCAGGTAAAAACTAAACTTTAACATCGGTTTTGTTAAGTAATTCTCAACCTGAAGCTTAAAATACATAATTTGTATGAGCAAAGTGTACTGTCGCAGCTTACAGTCTGACGGGGGTAGTCTACAATACTACTTGGACTGAGGGAAACACTGTAAAGCATCAATACAAACAACAGATTTATTTCAAAGCCTAATTCTAAAGGGAGCACACTTCAAGGACAGCTTGCTACGATTTAGAGACTGAAGCTATAGAATTACATGCAATTAAAAGCTCTCATAATTAATTTTTAGCTTGAAGTTTTTTGTTTCAG